CGGTCTTTGTTTCCATGAGGTTCTTGTTTTTTTTAGCAGCTTTTAGAAATCTGGCTCAGGTAGTTTAAAATTCCACTCCTTTTAGTCACATGCAAAAGGTATTTGCAAAAGCCATCATTCACATTTGAGTCCCCAGTCTTGTCTTGATGAAGCAGTAATTCAGTAGTTCTGAAATAACTTGACTAATATGTAATTTTCAGAGGTTGATGCTATTTCTGTTTTTGTGCATCCGTATGTATGCACATGCTCAGTGCCCATGCCTCTTTTGTCCATGTCTTTCTCTGTGGCACTGATGAAATACTAACAGCCAGACTTGACTTTATTTTATCGTCTGTTTCTTTCCACCAAAGAACTGCCTGTTGGAGGTGTCGCCAGTCACATTTACATAACACTAAACTTTTAGTACTTTCTTCCCCAGTTCCCTCATCCTTCTTTGTTTTTTGATAACAATTTAGCTACAAAATGTGCAGCCTCTATTTTGTCATATCCCCGTGACTTTTTTCTTTATAATGTGTTACTCATAGCTTTTCCTCCCATCTTCAGATCCTCAAATTTCAAGAAAATAAGACTGTTTTGTTAAAACCATTACAGCTCTGTCTGATATTCCCCCCCAACTATGTATCTCTATAAAGGTCTAGTGAAGCACACAGGAACTGTGGAAAATGGAAAAAGAATATGAAACACAACGACTGAGAAAATGAAAAAAGTGAATGTGTGTTCAGAAATTTAGACAACAGCCCCACGTTAACCATTTCCACAGTGGTTTCTATATCTATACCGCTGCATGTAGAGCGTTACATTATCTTTTTAATAACACATTTCACCAGATATGAGTAATGCAGCGACACAAAGACATTAAAAAAAAAAACATAATTTCCCCCAGCATATTTTCTTCACTTTTGAACTGAGAAAATACAATTGTTTGTTAGCTGCTGATCAAATATTCCATATTTGATTTTAGCTCTGACAAATCCTAGAATTCCTTCTAACCACGTTTGTCCAAAGTGGTGGTGTGAATGTAGCGTGATTTGCTTGATCCTTTCCTCATAAAGCTGATGAAAATCATCATCTTGTTACATTCATTTGGTCTTTGATTTCTTAAAAGGAATAACCTCAGCTCTCTAGGTAATGTAACATGCAGTTTCGTGGCGGTTGCAGCACTCACCATAAGGAGTCAGACTTCACTTAAGTGCCGATGAATGTTTCAAATATTAATGCTTCTCTGGCTTGTAAAGATGATACTCATACATTATTTTAGATAGTTGTTCACACTGATGAAAAAGCAAAACAGAAAACACAGAATAGATTATGTTTTTACCATTGCATCCCTTCTCATCAACGCACAACAGCAGTGGTGGTGTTCAGTATCACCGTCCATACCGGCTGTGTTTTTCTGTTCTCTGTTCAGCCGGCAATTAAACTTTGTTGTAAGAATTTACACTCGGTGATATTTGTGACAGCACTGACTCTTCTTGCTTTTTCTGCTCTTTATCTGTCCCTGTCCCGACACCTCTTAGCTGGTGGCAGTCATTTTGTTGATGAGAAGTTGCGTCACGCTACAGAAAATTCCATGCTTGTCTCCTCAGAATAGATTGACGCAAACGCTCTGAGCACTCTGTCTAAATAAAATAAGCCACAGAGTGATCTGGGACTTTTAAAGCCTGGGGTAATTCAGTCTTTTTTTTCTCTCTTTCTTTTTTTGCCCAGCAACATTTGCTTGAAGAGCTTTGCGGCAATAAACAATAGAGAGAGTTTGGAATTTGACAGCAATGCTCCAGACCAATGACGAATCTCTTTTGTCTTGTTTATGATGTGTTTCCCTTTTGTGACAGCTTTTATGCATTAACATGTCAGTGAAGAAAGACCAGCAGGTGGTAGAAATGCGTAAATGTATGATTGGCCTGATATATGTGGTGTTCAGAAGTTGTCTTTTTTCTGTTTAATTGCTAACGTCGACCATAATTTAAACACCATTTGCATATGGTTTATTGTGTTTATTCCTCTCACTTTTATATTGTTTGGAAGTCTCATTGATAGTTTCTTCATTTTAAAGAGAAATTAAAGTTGACTCAATTATTTGTGCTCAATTTCACAGCTTTGCTTAGATTTTAAATGACAGTATTTTATAAACAGATTCCTTCTCATTGCTGCATTTCCCTGCATTTATTTATTTTAAACCAAGTCACTCTGAAGCTGTCAGTCATCTCATCACTTGTGAGGATGAAATTTGATTTGCAAACTATTCCACTTTTCTGGATTTTCTGCAACTCAAACTAATCTGGCAGTGTCACACTGGTGTAACATGTTTGCCTCTGTTTCGCTGAAAGACAGAATACATTTGAAAGTTTTATCCTCTGACAAGAACCCTTTTAAACAACTATGTATTTTCATTGAAGAAGTTTAGGTGATGAGATTTGTTTTATTTTATCTAAAACTATGCACCTAAAGCACCTGGAGGTTAATTTAGATTATGCCTTAAGGTTAAAAGCCTATATATCACCATATCCTATATATTATCTTCACTTTAAATACTTCAAAGAATCACCCACTAGCTAACACAAAGAAACACAAACCAGTAGCTATCTATAGCAAATGTAGGGGTCACATAGAAGACTGATGGGTGTAGAGTTAATGATTAAAAGTCTTTGCAAAGGCCCAGGTTAAACTGACATTTCTTGTGCCCTCCGCATTACATATGCGATCGTTGCGTCTCAGATAGAGCAACTTTCTCTTTGTGGGATCTTTAAATATCTGCATTTGTGCTCCAGCTAAACATTTAAATGGCTCTCCTTTGTCCTGCACCTGTTTCCTCTCCAGGCTGAGTATGTGGAGCATCAGCTTGTAGCACAGAGTTTCAATGAAATGTTAAAATGATAAAGCTGTGCATACATAGGCAGTTTAAAAAAATGAATAAATAAAAAAGATTTTGCAGTGTTCATGTGGAGAAACAGTCTGCTCATACAGTTTTGTAAGTTTTAAATCATGTAAAGCTAGCGGTAACTAAAGCTGTTGGCTAATATCCTTAACTGTCCTGTAATAGATTTAAATGAGCTTTTCTTTTCTCTTTAATCTTCTGTTGTTTTTTAAATAGTTTTCATTCTTAATTATATTTAGCAGAATTATTATTCCATCTCCTTTCCAATAACTATTTTTTTCAGTTAAAAAAATCAAACTTCTCTTTTTGATTCTATATTTTCCCGAATTCTTAGCTTATCTGTAATGACAGATCTCTGTACTCCAATGCAAACTATATAGTCCAACAGCCGGCTATTACTTCTGCTACTACTCCAGATATTTAGCACTATATGTTTTAGAGTCGTGAACGTATTCATGCATATTTTCATTTGCCTTAGTGAGGCAAAGCTTTAAATGTTATTGCTCCAATCTTTCCTTCAACACAGGCTTATTCATTACTTCTCACCGACTCACAAAATCCCATGGTTCTATTCATGGACCATCCCATATGCTTTCTTTGCATTTGTTTGAGTCCATTTGCTATAACTAGCTGTCTGGCTCATTTGAGCCGTTTACTTTAATTGCCTTACTTTCCTCATTACTTTGGCAGTAACATTCTCTCTGGTCTCCACCTCATCCCTCTCTCGTTTGCCCTTCTTGTCATCACACAGTACTTTTCTTTTTTCAGCTCATTGCAACTGCCAGCCTGCTAGTTGGCTCAGTCATAGTCCTGGTTTTCTTGCTGGTTATAATTATCTCTTTAGCAGCCAGTTTTTCAACCTCTGTCTCTCTTGATGTACTCCCTCGCTCTTTGATTTTAGGCTGCAAAGCTATGTTGGTTCCCTTGTTTGCTTGTTAGCTGGAACACTGATATTCACACCACTTTTGCTCATAACGAGTTCACTGTTTGCAATTACAATTTTCTTCCCCTTGCTGGCTCTTTCCTTTTGTTGTGTTTTACGAAAAACCTTTCACTTCAAAACCATTTTTTTTTCTAAAAAGCTCTCTTTTCCGGCCATATATTCCATCCATAGATGCCATCTTATCATTCTCCAAGTTAAGTAAATATCTCTCCATTCACTTAGCCTTGAAATCCCTCCTATGGTTTTCTATTATTATTATGCAAGCCTTTTATGACCGAATGTCCATCTCTAGATTTAACGTTTTTTTCGGTGGAAATATATGACCAACTCCTCATGACAAGGCCCAAGTCAGATTGGTGAAGCCCCAAAGAGATGGTTTATTGGGTCTTGATAACACTGCTAAACCTTAAATAAAATCTTTCTTTCATCACATTTTCTCAACCATCCCCAGTCCACATATCCCTTTTTATCTCCTTTCCTCTTTCTTTTTCATTTCGCCTCTAATTCGGACTTCCCCTCTCCTCCTCTCTCCATTACCTCTACCAGTCTGCCATGCCTTTATTTTAACTCTCCACCTTCCTGTCACTTGGCGTAACCTTTTTATACCTTCAATTAGTCCCTCCTTGAGTTGTCCTCCTATTTCTTTTCAATATTCCTTTAATTTGTCACGTGTCTCTTCAAATTTCCCAGTGTCCTTTCCCGTTCCATACTTCATTTCATCCTGAGATTATCCTCTTACTTATTCCCTGTTTTCCTTTGCTGTGATCCTTTAGCTGTGCTCCCATGTGGTCCTATCAGTAATGTGCACCTAAACCCTGCATTCATTCTTCACATTGGAGCTGGATTCAGATCACCAGAGAAAAGAAGGGATTGGAGGGTGCAGTGAGATAAAGGGTGGATATGCAAAGGAGCAATCTCTAAAGTTGACATGAAATCCAAAGTGAATCTACTCAGTGAAATGACCAGACTTTGTTCGTGGTAGAAGATACTTAAAGAATATCTTAAGCTATATTTACTTGCTGCTATGTTTACTGTGACCTGCTTGGAATTCTTGGGCTTCTTCGGGAAATATAGAAGACGTATTTCTTTATTACATAGTTTATCCGAAAGTCTATTTTAAAAACTTTGGATAAATGCTTTTAATACTGTGCATGATATAACAGTTTTTTCATTCTTCCACAGGTCTGGTGGTAAGAGAGGCCAGTATAGAAATAACACGGCAGCAAGTGGAGGAGCTGTTTGGTCCTGAAGATTACTGGTGTCAGTGCGTGGCCTGGAGCTCCGCTGGAACCACAAAGAGCCGCAAGGCACATGTTCGCATTGCATGTGAGTACGCAACCGATGACACGTGTCACATAGTGGAATACTTAGACATTAATGAAAGAGCATATGGCAAATACATCTGTGATTTAAAAATGTGCTATACGATACTCACCCATGCTTAACGTGTTTCCCTTCAAAATGAAAATACAGGCCGCACACAGATACAGTCATCATCTCTGCTGGGTCTAATCTCATAAAAAGAGCCTTGTATGAGAGACAGTAGACTGGAGGATATATGTAGCTGGCTAAGAAAAAGATATGATCTTATGTAATAGAAATGGAAGCTTATCCACTAGCACTGGTGTGTGTGTCTGTGTGTGTGTGTGTGTGTGTAAATTATTATAACACTCAATCATGTGAACACAGTGCATTGGTGTGAATGTACACGGTTAGGCATTTATTCAGTTATACTTCCATTACCCTCACACACATCCAAACACAGATTCTGACACACAGAAAAATAAAAAACACATACAAATCAAGCAATTTCTTTTCTCATCAATTGCTTTGGTCAGACATCGTACATTTTTTTCCTTTAGACTTCTGAGTTGAATGGTGCATATAGAAAATGTGATTTCACACAGACAATCCTGTTGCTACAGTTTATTTTCTTGTCTGTCTCTTTTTTCAAAAGTCATTCTAAATTCATATTACCTTTCAATTGAAGCAGTTATAAATCCGATTTTACTATTCATACTATTCATAGAATTTGCCAAATCTGAGTAAGTAAAAAAATAGAAAAGATATATGTCTGTATTAACAAAGCTTCAATCAGCAGACTATTAGAGATAAAGTATCTGTTTACAGCATAGCCAATGAGACATTTTTTTAGTAAAGCCATTTGCTTCATTCCAATATGCCAAATGTAGCTTAATGTATTTTTCCACTGCACATGGCCAGAGATGCTTCCCACCCATCAGCAAGACACAGAGAGGGAAGATGCTGATACGTGCTAAACTACACATTGGCAAAAAAGATTCAAAGGAACTGTGTTGTTTTGTAGATGAGTCACTGAGGGCATGGTATGGTTTAAACTTTGATTTGGAACAAGTCGGGACTCCGGATAAAAAATTACTTTCAAAACCTTTACACTGAATAGAACATGATGAAGAGCTTCCCTGAGTAGAGTTAGCTCAATAATTTAGTCCACTATCAGTAGTTTCCTGTTATGGTCTGCTGAAGAATTTAATAAGACAACTGGGAGTCTGAAAATAAGGTCACCAAATGAACACAGGGCAGATTAAAGCTGGCCAGACTCGATACTGTAGCAGACAATGTTTACTAAGCTACTCCTCATAAGCAGTTATCACCAGAAAGATTCAAGAGGGTCTTTGTGGGTCTGACAGTAAGCTGACATAGACCAAGCGATTAATAAGATTAATTATAAAAAATAAGCAGATTTAGTTTAATTTTCCTTTCTGCAAAGAAAAAAAACTTATGAAACAATAGATTTTTCTTTATAAGTTCCTTTTACTTGTTGAACCCACAACAGTTTTTTTCCGAGCGTCACTGCTCTGGTCGATTCGGCCCTATCAGACTACTGGGACTTGTGTAGGTGAAAGAAAGGTCTAGCAAAAAAGAAATGCCAATAACACAATCGACTTCACCACTCTAGTTTACCTGGCTAATGCTAACAGTTTGGTTGTGCCTGGGTGCACTCGCAAACAGACATCTGAGAACTTTGTCAAAGAATGTTCGGCAGGCTTGTGGAATAAACTTCAGGCATGCTCCATATATAGTAGTTTTCCAGACTGTATTGTTCTAACAGACATGCAGCCTTGAAGTCTTGTTTTCCCAGGTTGATCCTATTCCTGCCAAAGGATGAAATCCATCATGTTGACCCTTGTGTTTCTCTTCAGGGTGTTTTATTCGGGCATAAATATGTTTGCTTTTTCACTGCTTATTTGCACACGTGTTTGTAAATGTGTATGTTATCTTTTTTTTTCATATGAATTTTGATCAGTTGATAATGAAAAAGAAGAATTTTGAATACGCTCCATGCATCACATATGAAAATAGCGTGAAAAGCATTGGTTATGTTGTGCTTTTACACATAACTATAGGCTTCAGGTTCTATAATCAGTAAGAAATGTTAATTGAAGCTATCAGAAATGTTTTAAATGAAGGAAACATACGCATATTTGTAAATTGGTTGCTGACAATTGCTGACTGAAAGTTTAAATGTTATGAAATGCATTACATTATTGGAATCATGTAAAAGTACCAGATGAACATATTCCTGAGGTGATTTGGTTTGTCAGCTTTTAAATCTGAATTTAGAGCACAATCTCTGCGATGTTTTGGTTATGTGAAGATGTTTTTCTGTCTGTCAGCAGAGAGTTAGTGACACAGTAAGAAGTATCCCTCTAAGCTCTGCTAATAACATTCTCGAATGGAATAGGCTCTCCTTTGGGTGCAATAAAAGCTGGTAATGTGCTGTTTTTGGCTTACGTTTGGGCTGATGCATGCTGAGAAACAGATGCAGGCGAGTATATGTATACAGGCCACTGAGAATCAAAGAGTCAGATTCGTGAAAAAAGACACCCACAGCAGAGAAATGCACTCATAGCATTGTTCAGTTGATTACATTATCTAATTACAAAGTACAGTAAGTGATACATGAAGGTGTTCATGAGTTCCGGGATGTGTCAGCACAGGAGGGAATTTATGTCTGCTTCACAGCCATTTTTAAATGATCTTTGGCATGAAATTCACAATGCCAATTTAACAAATATCTCCATCCGGCCTTTGTGCTATTGCATTTTTTCCCCAGCCTCATTAATGAGTAATAACACATTATAGATACATATGTGACATCTCTCCTGTCACTACTTGTTATTCTGTGTTGCTGAGAACATTCTACATAAAAATAAATGTACATTTTATATTCTTTATAGAGAATGTTTTTGAATATTAAAAAAACTCTGGCCAAATATAATTTGGTTCTTCTCATGTAAAGAAAACGTGGGTAAGTCTGCTACAAATCAGATGTAACTTACAGCGCCTTGTTCTCATTTTCTCATTTTATGGGTCGACTTATCCACAAATTGAAAATATAATTGTTGGAGATAGAGCGGAGGAGATGCTGATGGAGGATACCTGTAAAAAGGCTTGAATTCTCAACAAATATCAAGAAAATAAACAATTCTACGAGCCGCACATCTTCCTCATGTCACATTGGCTTCTCTTTCTCCTCAGATCTCATTCATTACTGCCTTTCCGCTCCCTGATAGTCTGTTTTTTTTTCTCTCTGACTTTGTCCACTATCCTTCACTTTCTCTTTTTCCATTATAACAGTGATTTTTTGTCCCTTAACCAGATCTGATTACACTCAGCCCTCTCTTGCGATAACCTTTTACTTCAAATCGACCCAACCTCCTGACCTACCATGCTTTCGACTCCTATTTGGATCTATGGTTGTGATTAAAATGCTTCCTGGCAGCTGGAGCTTGCTGAGCAAAGTGTCTTTTGTACTGCACGGTGCAATGTGCCATAGCACATATTCAGCATTTCTCTCCTGCATTCTCCTTCTCCCCTTTCATTTTTTTGTCCCCCTTTTCTTCTCAAACTTTTTAACAGTGGACACCTTGTGTGCTCGTTGTTTTACTCATTCATTCTCTCTTTGGGGCAAGGACTTGACTCAAACCAGTGAGTCAAGTCCAAAGGAGTCTGTGTTCGTTCTCCAGTGTTATGGGCACATTATGACCGGCAAGACTGATCGAACTGCCTGCACATCTGTATCTCACAGTGGTAATTCAGTCTCACCTTTCAAGATCTAAAATATAAAAGAATATTCTAATTTGTTTGAAAATCTTTATGAATGCTTCTATTAAGAAGATACTAGCTAGTTTCACTGTTCTCACCAACATGCTCACCAGTGGCTCTTGAGATGTTTTTTCTTCATCTGTAAAATTTCTGGTGTAACATCTACGTGACAGGAAACTTTAGAATATATGTATATCTTATTTTAGGACAGGAAATATAGACTCTGTCCCCTGTGGGGAATAGACATGACCATGATTTGGTCACCATAAAGGTATCTGTCGTCTTTAATTGCTTTTTTTCAAATTAAGTGATTCATCACATGTCAGATACTTAAATAAAAAAACATATTGGTACCAAATTATCACTGCTGTGACATGCATTTGCCAAGGTGTCAATTATCTCTTCCTTATTTAAGATGGCTGCAACTACATAATTGCAAAAACATCCAAATTAATGATGATACACATAGGAAAAAACATGATTTATAACTATGACTTAAATAGTATTAATTTCATCCAAGATACATTTATATATATATATAAATACATACACATACAAGATGAACACAGTCACTCTGTCACAAACTCTTTCAGTCATGCAACATTGCAGGCACGTACACACTAGGAAACGAAGCATAGATACGTGCATACACACAAATGTGTATACATTGTCAGTCATGCTTTTTCGGCCTGACGGCTATCAGGTCAAGTCCTTCTCCTTCAATGGATTAGCAATAGATCAAGGTCACACACATTCCCACACACTCGCAGACCTACACAACTCCGTGCACACACAGGCACTCAGACACCCACACATTTCAGATGATGGCAATTTGTTCTGCCACCTTCCACTGAGACCTGTGTGCGCATAGCAATCAGGAGTCCAGACACTCGGGGGCAAAGCAACACAGACAACTACTTGTGTCAACTGGAAAATATCTGTGAGTTAGTTTCTTCTTTTTGTTCATGGCGCACATGTCTGATGCACATTATATATTTTTCCTTCACTGATGGCAAAATCATACCGAGAATAATATACAAGAAAATCAAAACAAGTCTCAACATTGATTGAGTCAAATAATGCATTAGATTCAATTCATTTTACATTCATGTAGGCCAGCATGACGCTTATAGTCCTACATAATCACTTGTAACCCAGCAACAACTGTGGTGGGTTACCCTCCCTCCCCTGTATGCTCGACAACAATCTCAGTCCTGATGGCCTTTAACCTTTCATAA